AAGAACATGAATTGTTAATCTTTATACTGCTGGTTATTCAGGAATTACCAGCGTAGCATTTTCGAAATCCGGCCGATTATTATTCGCAGGCTATGATGATTTCAACTGTAATGTATGGGATTCAATGCGACAGGAAAGAGCTGGTATGTATATGTTAAGTCGTTTAAAGAGTATAAATGGATTTTTTTTTTTTTTTTCATCATGCTACTTACGAATAAATTATTGATCAGAATTTTTTTGATATAAAGCTTTTATCTATTCTTCATACATATTACTTATGAATGAAACGAAAGAACTAATTTAATAGTCAGTATGGTTTTTGATTTCACTACTTTAAATTTCTTCTATATAGCAAAAGACTGGAGGGTTGTAAAAGTTTTTAGATCGTTTCATTCATAAGTAATATGTAGATAAGATGCAGTTGAAATAGACTGATTTCATATTTCTCATGAAATTCGTGTTGATTTAGGTCATGTGTTTGTTCAGTGCGGCATACCCCTAGTTTCACTCATGAAGTGGGCATAGTTGTATGAAAGATATTTATAATGGGCTCATAGTTGTAGTTATGGGACAGTTCTTTAAGAATCTGATGGTTAAGTTGTGGATGGTTCGAATTTTTATTCTTAGTTAGTATGCACTGTTTATATATATTATTTTGCCCATTTATTTGCAGTACAAAATTTTAGGTGTATTAGCCGGTCACGATAATCGCGTGTCCTGTTTAGGAGTTACAGAAGATGGAATGGCCGTATGCACCGGTTCATGGGACAGTTTCTTAAAGATATGGAACTAGGGTAAAACATGGAAGTTAACCACATTATATCACTTTTTAACGCTAAATTCGTTTTTTTTTTTTCCATTTCTCTGATGAATAACAGGCTCATCTGCAGCGGGCCTTTATTATTAATATTAGTACTGTTTTTGGAATTGAAGTTTTCAATTTACTACGTTCGCAGTTTTGATGCACGCTGTTTTTGAACTATTGCATCTTTATTACAGTACTTCTGTAATATTTTGCACTAGTGTGAATGATTAAGACTTATTGATTCTGAAGAGTTGAATTTCACTCTTTATCAGACACAAAATCAAGAAGATTTTTGCTCCGAAATTATTGCTTACAACAGTTTGTTTTTCTTTCCTTCGGCCACCGCAATTACGATGCTATCTGGTTCACTTATGTTACCGGTGCGCAGCTTTTTGCACTATCGTTGCCGATGATGGTTGTGTGGTATTTTACAATGATTACAATAAGATCCTGTACCACATTCCTCAATATTAATATTTTCGAGATCTTTGATAACAAAGATGATTGCCGTATGTGTAATAGTTTATATGACTTCGGTATTTGTCTTCAACTCTTTTTTTCTCCGGAACTTTGAAAATATTTTCATCTTATATTGAAAATAGTTCCAGATTCTGAGTAACTAAATTTCTATTTCTTGCCTGTCAAACATTTTTACGTTCGTATCATGCTGTTATTTTGTATCATCAGACGTAAATATATTAGTTTTTTTTTTTTTCAAATATCGCTTCCCTGTTTATCAACATGTATTATAGTATCACCTCCGTACTTTCCTGTTATTCTTTTTGGAATTGACAGTTGAAATAGTCATGAAATACAGAAGAGGTTTAAAGGTCACGTCATGGATTTTTCAAAAAGCCATACGCAGCGTCTGCAAGATACAGTGTGTTAGTGTGTTAGTTGCTAATATTTTTTCGTGATTAACTAGAAATTTCCGGTGATACTGCAATTTAAAGGCAAAAATAATCCCTTTCTGAATTTTCTCGAAGATTTTGGAAGGAAGTTGAAAGATTGACAAAAAAAGCAATAGATTCATAAAAAATGGAAATTGGAAGTATAATTTCCAAACCTTTTGAAGATGTAGAAGAATTTGTTCTCGATCATTTTCTTTTTATGCGTATATGTTTGTTATCGTTTTTAAACTGGTTTCAGAATTTTTTTTTTTAATTTAAAATTCGGCTTCTTTCATTTAATCCGTGTTCTCCTGCCGTATTTTGCACATTATATTTCTTTTGGTATATGTCTGTGTGTGAGCGCCTGCGAGTATGTGTGCTTATAATTCCTGTCGTTCTTTTGATTTTTTCAAAGTTTTTTATTTTAGCAAAATTGGTTTTGTTTTAATGGTGTCCAAGCATTTTAATAATGTTTTGTTTTTTTTTTTTAAATTATTGCGAAGAGGGTCCTTCAACTAGCTTCACAGTTTTCTGCATTTTTTTTTTTTTTTTTTTTTTTTCATTCTGAACTTTTGGAAGGGAAAAGACTTTAAGTAGTCATCGCATTTCTTTCAAGAAAATTCTTATTGGTGGGTGATCAGTTTATATGTGGGATGTAATCAGGATTAAAAAGTGTGGGGATTGGTGCTATGTGTAGGGAACTGATGTCTATATTTGATCATTTGACCAGTAAGTTTGGAGGATTAAACTGGTGATTGCTTTTCGCGGCGATTTATTTGTTAGTTGAATCCCTAGTAAATAAAATTCTTTCCAAAAACTGCATGTTTTTAAATTAGTGTGTCTAGCTATGATAAATCTGGTGTTTCGTCACGAACTTTAAACATATTTCAAGTCAGTGAAATTGATTTACTTTGTTCTGAAATTTGAAACGTTTCTCTATGAATGATTTGTTCGCATGCACTATTCTGATCTTTGTCGTATTATGTTATTTGATTATCATTATCACTACAATCCTGTTATTAAAGTATGAAGCTTCGTTACTTGAATCTCTGTTACGAAAGTTGATTATCGACAACTTTGAAATGTACTTCGTATTCATTGTTGTAACAGTGAATGGAGGTCAAAGTGTATGGAAATCCGAAATCCGAGTGTGTGGTTGTAGAGTTTCGAAGTTTCTGCATTTGAATTGGTAAAATTATCAAAATAATCAGTTAGATGTGGTGTTTCAAAAACTCTTTCTATGGGTGCATTTATCATTTCTTACATTCATGCAGTGCTGAGCACGGTTGCATTTATTTTTCAGCAGTATTTTGTGAGATTTATAATGCTAAGGATTGCAGTTCCAGAAGTTGAAATCTAACCGTTCCATATAATTGTCATTTGAAGCACTCTACACATCATTATACTTCCTGTTACAAAGCATTTTGAATGAAATTAGTAGCGATGCCGTGAATATCCCCTGATCCTTGAGTCTTTAATCCTTATTCATTATCATTGTTGAAAAAATGGAATATATTAAATATTCGGGGATAAAAAAGACATTTGAAGGGAAAACATATCGAATGAATCTGCTGAAGAAAATCAAAATATTTAAAAAAGGTGATGGGAATGCTGAGGATCTTAAAAGGGAACAAAGAGAAAATAAGGTAGGGGCTGCGTTCTTTGTTACATCTTGTCAAATAGAAGAGACGATTTGAAGAAGGGTAGGTTGTCATCTTTTATCTTTGACGGGATATATCAAATGTTCGTAAATTGGTAATGCATTTCGAAAATTTTTCCAGTTTATTAAATTATAATACATTTCCAATTTTGGGTACTTGGTGGGTAGTTTTCTATTTCAAGCTTATGGGCAAGAGTTTTGTCTTTATATTTGCATTTGCAAAAATTAAGTTTTAAGCCAGTTTCACTAATGAGCACTTTTGCATTAGGACACACTTCATGAACAATGGACAAGTTACCTTTAATTGTATCAAAGGCCAAAATAATTTATTAACTGGTTTTTTAATACTTCAATGAATGGAGATGTCTGGTGTACAAATTACCTTGTCTTTGTTCCTTTAATTTCCTGAAATCAGTATCCTTTTATTATGCGAGAAAATAGTTTGGATTTAAAATAACACTTAGAAAAGTTGAAAGTTCTAAAAATGAATTGAAGTTCTAATGGTCAAAACGAACAGAATTTTATGTCCTCTGGTCATTCTGCCTTAAATTGCATGAGAAATGGAATTATTTCCATGCCGCTTCTCTAATTTTCCATTTCCAATCGTGAAAGACCCGTTTTAGTCTTACTTCAAGCCTATCTCAAATCCATCTAACTGTTTCGTATGTATTATTATGTTCCATCGTATAAGTTAAGTAGATTAGACTTGAATAAGCTAAGTTGTAATTTTTGGTCTTTATCGTTGGACTCCTAAAAGGTTCAATCTTCTATTTCTCTTCTTTCTATTGATTATGAGCAGTAATGCGTTATTATCTCTTTGCTTAACTTCTACGAAAGAAAGAAATCAGATTAGCAGACATCATTTCAGCATCGTATTTAGCTTAAACCTAGGCTTAGACCAGCGACAGTTTATTAAAAAATAAGGAAGAAGTTATGTTGATGGAAACAACTGAAAAAAGGATTCTGAATATAAATCTAAATTTAATTGGCTGAACGTTGTCTGACATGACGTAAGTCGTAACACTTTTCTTGAGATTAAACTATACTTCACAGAGAGTCATTTTGAAAAGTTTGGCAGTTAAAAAAGTTATGAGAAAATGAAAAACGTATTAGAAAACATATTTTGGTAGATTTAAATTGTTATTCACACATATTGTACAAATTTTGACATTGCAATTCTGTTCCTAAGGTTAAATTATTTATAAAGAACCATCAGGAATGCAGTTTAATTTCACTGCAAATTGTATTCATGCAGAACTACAAATGAATATCCTGGTAGCATTTTTGATATATCATAACTTATATCGATCACTGCTGTATAGTTTCTGTTTTTCTGATAGCACCAAATGTATAAAACTGTTTTTAATGATCAAAAACTCAACTTTTCAGCGAGTCTTCACTTCGCTTAAATCCAAATTTAAATTAAAAGTCGGAAGGCGGAAATAAATAATGTACTAGAAATTAATGGTGGTTGTCGTTTATATCTTTTCAGCCTGAATATTTGTGCATTTTACCAAAAGTAAAATGACGACATTTTCGGATGACACAAAGGAGAGGAAAGAAGATTGTTCTTCATTTGCTATTGTTATGCAAAATCGGTAATTGTGATATCTTTAAGCAAGCCGATTCACAACCAGCATTTACAATGGAACAAGCCAGTAAAGCACTTAAGGCCTATAAGAATCGCAAAAAAGCACGACAAAAGGCTCGCGAGGAAGAGGCGTGTTACGTGGAGTACAGGAAAGCTGAAATTCTAGCAAAATTTAAACCAAAAGTGGGAGCTCTTCGAATTGCTGATGAGGCAGTCTTTTGAATCCATCAAAGATCGAATTCAATTAATTTCGCTCATTTGAGTCTCTATGAATGGTTAAAAGATTTGCTATTTACAACTATGAATTGAATTTGAATGTCTTTAAAGTAATTATATTTCAAACCTTTTGATTTTCTTAGTAAGCTTTGCTTACTCTATTCCTATGATTCATGTTGATTCATAGTGCAATATAACATAACTTGCTTCATTCTTGAAAAGGTTACTTCCAGTAGTTCAAGAAACAGCAAGTGCAACCTTGAAAGTAATAAACGTGAGAATATTTAGAATCAATTGTAGGTTTTCCCAAAGCGTCGGAAGGGTTCAATGGGTTTTGGCGAACGAAAAGCGCATTACTTATCCATTCGGCCGAAACCTTGCTATGCAACTTGGCTTGGTAGACGGCGAAATATTATCGAGGCGAAGTTTGTTATTTCTTAGATCTGTTTATTGAGCCAGTTAAATTATTACAACTAAATGAATTTAAATACTGAAATCAAATAAAGTTATAACATTGTAACTATTCCCTTTGCGATTAGCTAACTGCTTATAGAGATGTTGAACGTATAATAGAAATTGAAGTACAGATTATATGTTATCGATTGAAGTCAATTAACACTCTCAAACAATTTAGCATGCTCTTTTCGAATTCTTTTCTTATCATCTAAACTAAAATAATTCTTTTGAATCAACTACTACCCATTTGATATTGGACTTTCCAACTCTTTAAAATTTTATTCTGCTGTAATAGTAATGAGAGATAATAAAAATGAACCAAAAATTTCTTTTTAGGAGAAGGTGAAGTATCTGAATCATGCAGTTTGTTTGTAAATGTTTAAATTTCTTTTTGTAATTGAATCTATTTATTGTAGGCCTTCACCGATGGCAATAGCAGCGTCAGTTGATATGACAGATCACTCTGCCGTCCCAGAATTCAGCAGACAGTCTGTTAAAGAATCCGATAAAGAAAATAATGAAAGCGATTCAGTCAAGAAATCACTTGCTTCAAAGGCATTATTATATCTTTTGATAACTTAATAGTTGACGGCCAAACTTTATGCTTTTTCTTATTATAATAGCAATAAAATTCTCTCTGGCCAATGTTTTATAAACAAATGATAGGATAAGATAAAAGGTAAAATAAAAAAGATGATAGCATAGATAAGTAGAAATTCTTTATCATAATATTTCGATTATTGCGACTTCATAATTATAGGATTCAAAACATACACCTCAGATATCTATCTCACACATACAAAAAGAATCACAAAAGAGATCATCTATGATTGGCCCAGAATTTGAAGGCGATAGTGGTCTAGTTAAAATGGCCACCTATGGAGCACATGCTGATAACCCTTTGATAAATGGTGTACCGTTCTGGACTATTGAAACTCCTCAGTGAGCCTGAAGGTTTTTTCCCAAAGTGAACTGATAGTGAATAAGGCTTAAGAGTTATTTGTATTTTGATGATTTCCAAATGCACTAAAAATTTATGTTAACAAATTAAAATCTTTAAACTAATTTCTCGTCTTCGTTTTTTTTTTCTCCGACATAACAAAGACTTGTCAATTTGATGAGGAATTTCGAGGAAAAACATTTTTACTTCATAAATACTTCACACCAATTCCTGATAATCTTCAGTATTTTTAGCAGAAATTATTAGAAATAATATGCAGTGTACAATAAAGTTGAGGTATCAATAAATGAATGGACATATTTATTTTTCTTAAATTAATGAATTTTTAGGGAGGAGGAAGCAGTAACAGATGATGATTTGCCAGTTGACATGGATATCCTAGAAAAAGTTTGTACTGGAAAAAAGACGCTTGATTCACGACCGTTTGAAAAAATTGAATTTAACCCATTCGGTCCAGTATCCAAAATGAAAGCAGTTGCTGTTTAATTAATCAATTAGTCTATAACTTAATATGACCAAACATCAAGTAGAATTTGTTGGTAAAATTCAAGTATTCAATTATAATTTGCCAGCATATCTAAATTTTATTAATACAAATGAAAAAGAATTAAATAAATCATAGATCAGCTTCAAAAAAATTTAATTAAAATTGAAAATTGTAAAACAGAGAATCGAAGTTATGAGCAGGTAAAAAAATGAATAAAATTAATTGCACTGAACGTTGTTGGAGGATGATATGCTATTCGATCGTGACACGATTTTGTTTTCAAATACTGTGGAAACGGTAATCCGCCTGCAGCCCGAGGATGATGAGAAGAGAGCACAACCTGCTGATCCATTACGGCGCCGCATTCGGTGGGCTGATAAAATTAGCGTAACGACCTTTGATCCTAAAAATCGACGGCCCAAAGATGTGAATATTTTTTTCATGGAAATCAATTAACTTAGTTTTTTCAGTTCTATCAATTACAACTATGGGTTTACCAACTTAAGACTTATTTCGTATTCCATAAATTGTTAGATTATAATAGTATTTGAACTATTCTAGTTCTTATCGTCATGAGAAATTAAAGAAGCCTTAAATAATAACGGGGCTCAAATGCAGAATTTGTGAGCAAAAGGGATATGCTCTCTTTATTTGAATTATATTTTTGCTACCATTCTATCTTATCATAAATTTATTTTGTTGATTTTCTCACACTGAATCATTATTTGGAACAAAATTTCTACTAGGAGATGAGAAAATTTGAGGGAGTTGGAATTCTAATATAAATTAATTTCATATACTTACCTCATCTATTTCAAATTTCTGCTTGTACCGCATATTTGGATCATTTGAAATTTGGATTCAAGAAAAGGTAGATTCTTATTTCATAGCTAAAAAGAGTTTTTGTCTCTGAACTTTGAGAATTTCTTTTTAGTAGTTCGTCTACTCTAAGATTTTTGGTCAACAAATATAAGTATCTTTTACAAGTATTGTATTCACTTCTTAAAACATTTCGAGAATGTAAAATCTCTCCGGCTTTTGGGTTCATAAGTCTAATGTTGAATTAAATATTATATTTCTAATAGATAATCGCAGATTCCAAATGACATTTTTTTGAGCTAAATTTCCATTTATGATGAAAACCTAATAAATATTTTATTAACTTAATCAATTATTTGTAAGTAATTATGTTTCTTGATAATTAGCATTTTACGAACATTCTGAATAATTCCTATTACTTTCACTATAACGCGTTTCTAATATATTCTAATGAGTTTTCTAGATAACCGTGTAAACAAATTGTAAGTTCAGATGGTTGCAATATTAAATTTTAATGTTATCTAACAGAAATATGAATATGAAAATACTGAATTTGACATGAGAAGATGACCCATGTATAAGTACGCATGGAATGTATAAATAATGAAATAAATGGACTGCTTAAATCAATTAATATAAGCTGATTCGGTGAAAATGCTTCAAAGATGCATTTAGCAATACAAACCAAATATTTCACATGTGACACTGAGCAATGACTTTTCAGCAGTATTTACTTCGTTAAGTTTGCTATTATATCCTGAAAAAAAATAATTTTTAAGTTGCATTGAGCAAATTTTTCAGTGTCTACGCCTTTCAAACATATATCTTTAAATCTCTTAGTTTTATATTTAGGTCTTCAGATATCTTGATATCATGAGGATCGTTGAGACCTGAGTGAGAATTCTTTCTTCAGACGATACATATCCTCCTTTCTCTCTCTGATTCAAATTAGTGAATTGTTCTAATTATTTGTTCATGTTATCAGTTTTCCTGAAAAATCGGCAATCATATATAAAGCATTTAGCAAAATGGGCATCGAAAAGAAATGCATTGCAATGATTTTTATGGATAACGTTCCACCGATTTGCTTCCGTCTCCTAAATTTATGCAAAATGAAAACATTTTGTTAAGCGCGTTCTGCTTAAAGAAAAAATAATTTCTCTTCCAAAACTAGCTTTGTTGAATTTTTCCTGACTATTTCCCTTTGGTTAGAAATATTTTAAAAAATTCTTTTTCTTGAAGCACGAATAATTATTTATTCCCAATTACTAATCACGAATAATTATTTATTCCCAACTAGATTAAGCGGGAATGGAATGGGAAAGCACTAAACTTTTTCTATTCGTTCATTTTTTCATAATCACCCAATTATAAAAATGGAATTTATATGCCATATAAAAATTCTGATGTTTTTTTCAATAATAATTATATTTCTATTATCTTAAATATCAGTCTTAAATTAATAGACAAGATTTCATTTTTCTTTCATAACCTACAACTGTGTTAAAGGAACTGTTTGTCAGCAAGGCTAAGATGATTTCCCTGTTCTAGTCTTAACTTTTCCAGTCAACTTGATTACCAGTTACAAAAATTTCAGATGTTGTTTTCTATGTATTTGACCTCTTGTTGGTTGGCCAAGAGAAGAAGCAGTAGTAAGAGCCTGAATGACTCCCCAAACTATTGCCGCATTTTAATCAATAGTCAAATTAAAATTCAGTTACTTTACACATACCATCAGCTATTTCAGGCCAAATTTCAGAGTGTTAATTGAGTAATCATCAATGGTCACAAAAAACAATAATAAGCATTGCAGATACGAACACCGATCAATGAACCACTACGAAACATAGCACGTGACAGACCATCGATTGCTTGCTAGACGAAACAAACATTCGAGATTTCATTATTTACATTTGAAATGTGCAGTTTCTGGTTTAATTTAGAACCGTGGATTGTAAGTACTTAGAAACAAATGAATTGACTTCAGTTTTTTCACTTCCATACTTTTGGAGTACTTCTCTTTTCCGTTTCTTGCTGCTTTTTCCCGAGATCACTACTGATAGTCGTTCCATATCAAAAACGAAGCTCTCATAATTTCCTTTCATGAAACATTTTGATATCCTCAATAATTACTCTGTGATTCCACCAAAATAATTACGGAAATGAAAACGAAATATGCGCGCAAGAAACACAATGTTTACTGTGGAATTAAAAGAAAGGAAAGAACAATAAAAAGATTGAACTAGAAACGCGACAATGTTTTCTTTATTTGAATTAATGCTAAAGATGCAAGCATTTAGACAGAAACAAATTCTTATTGCTACAAATTAACATTTTCGTATCCTAGAGGATTCGGTAATCCTTTGCTTTGCTAAAGGAAAAGTGATGAAGACTGAGAAGCATTCCATGGCGACGTTTAAGAACAATATTTTCTTCAGGATAGCTATAAAAGTAATGATTTAAAATTGTACAATGGTTATCGGGAGATACGAAAAGAATATGGATCAGATGCTAATTGGTCTGCTTCTCGTTGACGAAGAAATGAGAACTGCAAACCTAAATAAAGATGTAGGTACGTGGTATCACATCCGGCAGCTATAACTGAAATTGCTGCTGACTTGCATAAAAAATTAACTGCTGTTGGAATTGACGGAATAGAGTGCAGAAAATCTGATGGAAGGTTATCAGATTAATTTGCATTTTGTCATAAGCAAAAATTTATCACTTTTTAATAAATGGAAGCATCACTGGTCAAATTTAAATATATCCCAAGAAAAAAAAAAACTTTGTTTCCATATTTCTCCAAAATTTTGGTGTTTATAAATAGAAATACATTTATAAATAGGTTACCGATGAGAAAACTTAGTCCTTTCACATTTCTTTCTTAACTTGTCAACTGCAAAATATGCAAAAAGGGCTTTATAACTGCTTATAATTATTATTTGTTCCTATTTTTCTCAGCGACTGTGTTATAAAAGTAAAATAGCTAAAGCTTGTGCTATTAATCAGTGTAACCAATTAATCAGTCAATAAGAAGCAGTTCCTTTTTGAGATACACGAGGACATGTCATGAGCCCCATAAAGAACATAATTTGTCCTCGATTAGATAGTTGAGTAGATTCTTGCTTTTGAATAAAATGCTTTGTGACACATCACCAGCCATCACAATGCAGTTAGTACTTCCAATTACTTTATCCATCAGTTAGTCTTGTAATCTGTCAAAGATCGGAGTGCAGTCATAATGATTTGGTTACTTTACAATAGGATAGTCAAACCATAATGTAATATATATATGATTTGATTTGTTCATGTACGAGGTTTTTGATTTTTATGCAACGGGAATGGAATATCGACCCAGAATTATTACTGATCTCTTCAAATATTTGTGAGACATTATTTTATAAAGCGTAACTAGAAAACAGCAAAAAGAGGAAGACGTAATCTTACTGTTACTAGTTTTGGGTTTTATTTTGGTGGCGTAGCCAGAAATGACAACGATAGTCTTCTGTCCAATGGGCGGTCTCCATTGTCTATTTAAAAGGAACACTTTCCAGCAGTCACTTTCAAATCATTTTTACCAAAACGTTACAAGCACTTTTCAGTTCTCTGCTTGCACTTATTCCCATACGACATCCCTTCTGTATCACTGTTACAACAATTAGAATGATCCATATCGTGATGTCTGTGGATGACATCTCTATCGTTGCTGAATCCCATCGTTCGACAGAACAGAAGGATCGATTTGGTAATACCCGTTTAAGTGCTAGCAGACGAAATCATCCTCGATCAAGATGAATTCCGAAATTCAGGAAAAATTCACTGTAAATATTTAAAAATGAAGGACAGTATATTTATTGCACACACCTTGGACTGCCTAAAATGCATGTCATTTTCTTGAATCTTGAAACGCTCGTTTCTGGTTTCCTTGTAAGCAATATAACCATTCTAAACAAGAAAAACAACGGATTTCTCAGAATACCAATCAACTTGCTAAGTTCGTGGCGCTTAATGAATGATCCTTGGTTGAACATTTCTCCGCTACTCTTTATATTCACATTGTACCTTCTTCTGCTTCAATCCACCGTTGTTGTACAGTACTGTAACACATTGATTTAAATTGTATATTTATTTATTGAGATTGAAATATGATTTGACAACAAGATTTTAATACCTTAAGACAGAAGAAGTAACTTTTGACTACTCAGTCTTTATCGATTTATTATTGCGTCACTTCTTTTAAAAGATCTCATTTTTAGTGTCATTTTGTTCCAATAGTTTTCTCTAAGTATCTATGTACATTGAACCTCGCTGATCGCTTTTATAATTGTGCAAAACACATTGTAGAATAAATCCAATAAAGTGAACATATTTATTCATGTATCCTTGATTGAAAAGAAGTTCAAATGCATATTAACTTATTGTTTTCAGTTGGCACTAATCAGTTAAAGCTAAGAATATTTCGAAACATGAGGAGGAACTGTTTGGCATATAATAACATAAAGTAATCAAAAGAGTGATGACTAGTGATGTCCACCTAACAATACTAACAACAATACAATGGGTATTACAAAGAGTTCAGAGTACTTATTTCATAAATTACAATCTACTTTAGAAGTGAAAAGGCTGCTAAGAAGTAAAAAGAGCGCATTAATCTCATAAAAGATGGTTTACTCAGTGCTATCACTCATTATCATGTTATGGTAACACAGAGATAATGAACTACTATCTGATTTCAATTTTTCTAAAAAGACACTTCCTGCATACTGCATGGGACAAAAACTAACCAAGAAGCAAGCATATGGTGCAGAAAAGGATCATTCAAAATCAAAATAAGAATTTTTCTTAAGATCAGATCAGATGTGAGATTAGATCAGTTCCCATTAGTTAGTGCATTTTGCTTATTTCAGAAATATTGTAGTTCATTATTCAGACAATTATTAAATGATCCATTTGCATCGTTTGTTAATCATTTTCAACTTATGAAATTAAAAATTTCGGAAGGCGATGATCAAGACTACATGGCATATCATGATTTCAGCAATAATTTAATCGCATTTAATCTTATTTAAAATGATCTCAGCAATAGCAGTTATATTTTTATAGTCCTAATTCTTTTTAATCGCTTGCTATTCAAAAGAATAAAAAAGAAAATTTGGTACGATTAATATTTGAAGTCACGCAACAATGAAAAGCTATAATTAACTAGTAAGAACAGAATCGTCCACTGAATCAAAATCTTTCATTTATTTATTTAATCTAATTCATCATTCACATAATTCATGCGTTATCATTCCAATTTAAAGTCATATTATAAATAAAATAATCTAACTGGAAACAAATTATTTGTTATGAATAATAAAAAATATTGCAAAACAATTGTTATAAAAAACAAAATTATAAACTTCTGACATTTCCAGATTTAATTTCAATATTTTCATTTCTTGAAAGTTTCATGATAAAGGCATATATGTTTCGAATGTTCGGCAAATAAAATATCATCGTGGCGGCTAAGATAATATTTTACCACTAAATTTTTTTGCTCGGAAGTTCATTCAAATAGTAATAAATGAAACTATCATCTATTACTTTATTCTTACTGCTGCTATTCCATTATCATTAACATCAAACTGCCATGACTGTCAATCGAAATTAGTACAAAATATAAAATAAGTTGCATAGCGCATGCATCTAATCCGAAATCTTGTGATGCGTTTCGAAAATTGTATCATTGTTCGTATTTGAAAAAGTAGTTGATAAGCATTTACGCTCTAGTGAAGTGTGTTATTTGGCTGTTAACCAATATATAATCATATCATTCCTTTTTTAAAAGAGTTTAAGTTGCAGCGCTGCAAATTATGTGAAAAGGCATAGAATCGGCACTACTTATCACTTTTGAAACTGATAACGCAATGTATATACACAGTAAACACTGTATACACAACATAATCTTGCATCTTATAAACTTATCATTCATTTAAAACCGACCACTTTGATAACTAATAAGACAAGTGCATTTTGCTCTTCATTCAAATTTACCGTATCCCAATGGATAATTCTCTGCAAACTTTACATGATCCTCTTTTGCCGTGGATTATGTTACATATACTGCAATTATCTCTCAAATACTCTTCACATTCTCACATTTTAATTCAGTTTTATCAAAGTAGTCGATTTTAAATGATAAGTTTATAAGATGCAAGATTATGTTGTGTATACAGTGTTTACTGTGTATGTACATGCGTTATCAGTTTCAAAAGTGATAAGTAGTGCCGATTCTATGCCTTTTCACATAATTTGCAGCGCTGCAACTTAAACTCTTTTAAAAAAGGAATGATATGATTATATATTGGTTAACAGCCAAATAATACACTTCACTAGAGCGTAAATGCTTATCAACTACTTTTTCAAATACGAACAATGATACAATTTTCGAAACGCATCACAAGATTTGGGATTCGGTTGATATTCATGATAGTATCGATGATAATGTTAATGATAATGATAATGGAGTAGTGGCAGTAAAAATAATTTTAGTTTTGTTCTCTTTTTGTTGTTTTTTAAACAATTTTATCATTTCAAACATACTGTGAAAAATGAAAATGATTAGGAGAAAGTAAATGAAACCATAATTTCGCAGTAAAGAAGCATCGAAAAAAATACATTTTGATTGGTACTCTCGTGGCAATTATATTTTACAGCACTGTTTTTTTAAGAAAAATACATATCTATGAAAGCACAAAGTTTCTAAGTCATGAATGATTGAAAATTATACATAATAAATAATTCACAGTTTAAATTTAGGCGACCACTGTTTGCCGTTTATTTTAGCTTAATTGTTTATTCTAGACGTAGCAGTAAATAATGATTGTACTTCATATTTTTGCTGCTTAGGAACCGATTCAATGAGTGGTAGCAATTTAGAAATTCAAAAGATGCATTTTTGATTTTGACCTCATAAGATTCTCAAAATACAGCTTTGGAACAATCAACAGTTGTAATTTGCATTAGAAATAAAAATACTTTTGTTCTGAAATAAACAGAATGAAATTACTGTTTTGTGTTTTCGGTTTTATTGAGAATGTGTCGTTTCAAATTCTGTCTAAATTCGATGCATATTAATTTCCGATGTTCCCAAAATTTTTAATGATTAATTTTTTAAGCAATTTTACAGGTTCTAATTTACCGCACAAAAACATTTTCAGTATGCACCCATACAGCATTGATAACAGCCAGAAATGCTGCATTTCCCGCATTTCAATTCCCAACAGTATAAATTCCTGCCAGAAAAGATCGAAGGAACTCCAACTGAACTCAAAAATAAGATCTACAATTGGTCATTGTGTTCCACGCAAAATTGTACAGACCATGACGGTGTTACACAAAGCTACACAAGAGTCCAACGCTGGTATGTTACTGCGTTAGGTTGTGGCCAATTCTGGGTTCAGGGGTGTTTGATTTATGTTCTGGTGACTAAGGTTGGCAGTAGTTTAGGTAATGTGTAGAGCCTATGAGACATTTCATTAGTCGAAAGCTTAGTAATCTTTTCATAAAATAAAATATGAAATAAGAAAAAGGATTTAATGAAATTTGTAGTGACAGGACTTCAACTCTAAACAAATCAAAGTTTTGTTCTTTATATCCCGAAGCTTTTCTTCAAAAATGATTTCCTTTTTTTTGCTGGAAAGAAAAAAAATTCAAGAATAGAAGATATAAAGAAAACAAAACTTGAAAACAAAACTGAAGTGGTCACGTAAAATATTTGTACTTATCATTACTTTAAAAACAATGTTGACATACACTGGAAAGAAAATCCATGTACTTTGAAGCTGAAAATCTTTTATAATATTATATTTCAGGAACTTATAGGAAAACGTAACTACGTCTTCACAGCATTCAGAAGATATGCAGTAGTCCTATCCTTTTCAAAAGACTTTTAGTGTACAAAAAAATAGAGGAATGATAAATAAATAAGTAGAAAATTTATTCAGAGAAAATCTTTAAAACTTCGAGTTTTCTCTTCTTGAAAAAAATTCATCTTACCATTATCACTGGAGAATTTTTTTTTATGAAAAGATTGCACAATTTTTGCTCAACTGTTCTAATAATTATTTATATGAGGAGAATTTGTATAATTCGTTTCAAATAAAAAAGACTTGAAATTCGATGTGCAAACTGCAAACAATATCATTAGAGTTCCAATAATAAACAATGGCAATCAACCATCCGCGAAGCAAACATGCTAATTAAGAAGTTGACAAATATCATCCATTTTAATGTTTTAAAATTTGTTTTTGAGAAACCCTCGGCTAGCTGAATGATTCTTAACTGATATAAAGAGTACGAGAAAAGTTAATATGGGATTCCTTCGATATTTGCATGGGAAGCTATAGTTTTACCAGCTTTACAGATATTATGAAGGGAAAATTTTGTTAGCAAATATTCATGCTTAGATTTATAATGAAATTCAAGATCCAAGATTATATAATTCTAAAAATTTGACTCGAATATGATCAATCTTTAAAAGAAAACAAAAAAGATAAAATCGACTTGCAGATAGAATAGCGATTATTCAATGAAAAGAGTAAAGTATCATTCAGTTGACCGAGTTTTCCGAAAATAAATTTTAAAACGTTATAGCCTTTAATAAGGTGAAGTGATGCGAACAAAAGAGCCGTTTTCTTTTTTTCTTTTAATTTTTTCTTTTAGAACTTTCTTTTTTAGAAGTTGGAGTATTTTAAATGCTTCAAATAAAGCGAACTTTGAACTTGGTCGAATAAGATCAGACAATCAAATTGGCAATTATTTTTAAATATGACAACAATTTTGCTTTATACTGTGATATAAAAACTATAATATCGCTGAAAGTTCCACCATTTAAATTAAAATAGCAATGCCTTAAAAATGCTTGTGAAAACATATATGGCGAAATTCATTGCAAAAACATATTTCGACCAATGAACGAATGTTTCCACTTCCTGCAGATGATCCAACTATTCTGCAACTTATAATTTTTGAAAAAACAAAATAGGAAAAAGATTTCAAGACCTCATTGAAGTTCATTTAGCAAGACAAATATATGAAATTTCATTAAATTTTTTACTAATACTAAATGAAAAATTTAAACTCACTCTTCCTTCCAAAAGTAAAAAAATCTGTCATACGTTATGTTCTTAAGTAATTTACTGTGACTGGCTGTTTCAATGAAAAAGAGAAAAAGGAAAAATGAATTAAATGAAAAATGAGTCATGTCACTGTTCATTCAAAAATTTCATTTGATTACCATTTACACTGTTGTCTTCCTTTAATTGTTATCTTTTCAGCTGGTAAAAAATGTATTTCCGTGTAAATTAATCACAAAGTAAACATTTTCACGAAATTTACTGAAGGTGAAATGGATTTCTCAACTTCATTGATTCTCCGAGAAATTATTATAATTTTAGATTTATATAAAATGAAGAGATATTTTTGTAATGAAATTGAAAGGATTGGGGAAATTGGAAATTACGTACATTTTTCTTTGGTAAAATTCTATTTCCAGTTTAACTGCATCTTTTTTTTTTTTTTTTTGCATTGCACCCTGTTACTGAAAAACTTAACAAGTATAACGAAAGGTCATGACTACAAAATTTTGATTGAAAATAAACGAATGAATGAAAAATGAAGTTATGATGAAAATTGAATTTTACGAATTCCGGAGAGGCAGTACTGTATATATGTATGTATCGATTCAAACTGCATAACAAGCAAAATATTATACATCAGATTTCAGAAAGGATCGGTGTTCACCAGTTTCTGGCTACTTCTCGAAATTATCATTGTCTGCTTCCACCTCTATTTCACTCCTGTCCCAATGATGACCAGTGTCATCGATGAATTTCTGCTCATTATCGATTTGTTCCTTTTGTCCTTTGAGTGTCGAAGTGATATTACCAAATGATGATCCCATAATTACACCTTGTTGCTTTAAGAGTACTGAATGCATCCGTGCAAGTCCACTGCTTTGTAACGAATTTGGCAATCTAAAGGTAGACATTCCAGCAGTTCAATGCATTATAAATATTTTCAGTTTATTCTGATTCTACAACAAAATTTTTAAATTGTGTAGCTAAAAGCTCACATACCTTCCGGTGTAGAGAGTCCTCAAAACAGCTGTTCTGAAACGACCTTGATTGCCTACTCGTCCTCTTCGAACTAAAGATGATTAATGAAGTTCCTAAAGTATTTGTTAATAATGGCTTACTCACAGATGCTTTTAGTAAAAATAAATACTAACTGCAATACAATTTTTCTTTCTTTAAATTATTTTATGAAAAGACAGTTCTAATAAATCCTTTTTTTTAAGCTGAAAAAAGTGCACTTACAACTTCGATGACACTGTACACAAAATATGCGGAGCGGAGTATTTGTTTGGATATTATTCCTAAACAGAGAAATTAAATAGAAGGATGATGAGATGACAATCTCTAAAAACTGAACATATTTATCTAGTCTATAGATAAATATGTTCAGTCTAGTCTATAGATTGTCCTTTTTTTAAAATAATACCAAATTACTTGAAATTTTATCTTCATTCTCTACTTTATGTCCCACAATCCATCCTTTCCACCATTCTGTCTATATTTTAAAACGTCAGCTAATATATTTGAAACGACATTCTTTGCTCGACCTCCAAAATCAAAAACTTTACAATTATTTCAGTTAGCCACAGAAACTTTAAACATGTGACTTTAATCACTATTCTTAATTACTTGTCACAATTCTTTTCACACTGTAACACTTAAGGATGGCCCCGTTCAAATGCATAATTCTGGTAAATACAATAACTCCGTTAGAAAACAAACTTGTAATGGGTAGCAGGCCAGGGAGGGCATTGTCCCTTACGCATTGCGAATGCAGTTGATGGATTGAACTGGCAACGTCCTGTGATGGGATCGTAATGTGCTATCTAAAAATTTGCTAAATTCTATTCAATTCTTTACTATGTTAATCTAATTCTGAAATATCATTTAAGAATTTGTAGAAAGTATTGAAACTTACGGCACAATTAAATTCATGGCAAGTTCTAGCACACTGGTCGGTTGATACAGTGATAGCAAAATGTGTAAATGAATGCTTTTTGGGATTTTGCATGGGTGTAGATATGTAGAAAATGGATGCATGACATACTGAAATTCAATTAGAATTTATATCGCTATCAACTTAACTCCGAAAAAGAACAGAAATATTCAAAAATACTTGGGTAGAAGTGTGAAGTATAATGTCCACTCCAGAGATGCATTTCCTCTAAGGAAAATTCAGGATGGTTATAGTTCAGTTAATCAGCAAACAAAGAATCAATGACAAAGAGGGAAAAAAAATAGACCTCCTGTCCTTAATGAATTGGAAGTTGAGTGGGATTGTGATGGAAGGCCGATCTGTGAAGATGGTTGTGATGATTGCGCGTGCGGTATGGTCGGTACTGTTTCTGTAGGATGCGGTGAAATTGTTGTTGATGTTGGTGCAATCAAGTTAGTTCGAAGCTGCTTCAAGTTAATTTAATTTTATTGCACTGAATCATTGATCATGGGCAAAACGTTAAATCAGTCATCTTCGTTATTTCTCAGTTATGGATGAGATTTTATTTTATGTGAGATTCTGAAATTCTTTATGCTTCGAATGAAAATCAGCTAAGAAACAAATTAGTCAACTTTTTGGATGAATTAGAGATGCAGTTGCAGGTTGATAGGCAGTGATATTGGTAAAAGAATAAGTGATATATGCAGGATAATTATTGAAAGTGTAATGAAGATGACAAAGGGAGTAGTGGTTACTCAGTGAGGTCCACTGTTAATGGTCAGTTGTACAACTCGTGGTCTGCATTGCTCATGCCTCGAAACAATGATAAGGGAATTCTTAACTTCAAAAGTTAGCTCTGGATGATTAGGAAAGCATAAAGATCAGAAAGATTCTGACAAAAAAGGTATTAGATTTCTCTGGTGTTAGGGTTGAAACTGAATTTCAAATATTCCCAACAAAATGTTAAGATCTGACAATAAACAAAGTTAAAACAAAGCCAAATTCTCTGGAGTAAAATGTGGAATAACCAAAGAACAAATATATTTATCATTAATTGAGCGAAAACGCCTACCTGGGGCTGTTTCACAAACTGAGGCAATCGAGACACCAAAAAAGACGTCTTTGTTTTAGGTCTGAATTCATTAAAAACGAAAAAAAATAATTAAAAATAGTATATGGAACAAACATTCAATCATTATCAAATGTTTTTGGAGAAAAAATAAAATTTTCAGTCTCATATAAAAATAAAATTCATGTAATAATTTTACCTGAATGACGTTCTTGTCGACAACTGTTGTTGAGTGATAATTCTTGGTAATGGTGTTGATTTAAACAGGAATTCTTTTCGTGGAAGTAGCTGTGATGATCGAACTGGCGGCTTAAATTAGGATAGTTACTAAATGAATGGAAGGAATCAATTTAAAAAAAAAAAAAAACTGCCATAATTTTAAAAGTTTATTAATTCAGAAACATACCTGAGAAGGCAACGGCAGCTTCCTGAAATAAGAAATTTAAGAATAAGGAAGTTAATAGAAAAATGAAAGTTAAGGAAGTTCTGCATGATAATCCGTGAGGTGAAAGATAAGAATTAGATTGAAATATATGGATTTTAACTGCTGAAAATGAAAGATTAATTGTATCCCCATAAAAAATGGGTGTCGAAATGATAAAAAAGTAAACATTTTTGAGAAAAACAGCAAAAGATTCAACTTGAAATTATCGAAAACTCATGACAGTATTCTAAAATTGTCTTTGAGATTCAATGAGGAAGAAGCGAGTTACCCTAAATTATCAAGTTGTGTTGATCGAAGTGTTAAATTAGAAACATTTCTACGCCTTTATAACTGCCACTATCTGAATGACGTACACAGTAAGATGTACTGGAGCGATCTGTGGAAGTGTCGTAAATGATGCTCTATTTTTTCCTGCTACTGTTGCAGATGACTTTGTTACCTTCTGTTCCTCCTTTTCATTCCGATACGGCTTTGGTATAAACAGTGGGTCCTCTGGAGATCAAATCCAAAAATGAATATTTGCAATCTTTTTTGTAAATACACTCTACCAACGAGAAGAAAATTTAATCTTAAAATGTCCTAATGAATCGTCAAATTCCACGTTGACATATGCAAGGAGAATTATAAATAAAAAATGCCGCACTTTGATGATCGCTAGTTCTCTTACCTCCTCGTAAATCCACTACTTTGTCATCGTATGCATCGATATCATTCTTTAGTTGCGTGATTTCTCCTGTAAGTGGGCAGTTGTCACTATAAATTTAAGAATAAAAACCTGTTCGACTGCTTATGAAGGGAATGAAAAAGCTAGAGCGAAACTAGTTAGTCTCCTGTCTTTTCATAATAAAAACTAATTAATAATTGATTATTAGTTTAAAATGACTGATGATATAAGTGTAAGGAAGAATCAATTCTCAAGACGATTATTGATTTAATTGAACAGGAAAACTTCGTTTCAAAAAACAAAAAATTAACTTATAAGTTGAAAATAGTTTAATGCAGAACATATAAGCATGCCAAATCTGGGTGGGTTTTTTTTCAAAGTTATAAAAAACTTACCAGTTAATCCGTTGATATCATCTACCGGCACCTCATCGAAAACTGCTCGTTGTAAACCGCTTCGTGGTGGTCCTAGTGCTGGAAATAAGCTATAACTGAAGGTTACAAATATATATCTGTCGTGAAATTTGCATAAAACATGATGGGATTTAAATTACAGCATGAAATGTAGAAAGTTTACCAGTTTACTGAGGAGAAAAATATGGATCTGAGATGTGTACCCTAACGAAATATTGAATTTTCATCATTACAAATTGGCTTGAAATATTTCCACTTTTTGGTATTTGAATTTCTTTTTTTGATCGTGCAGTTTTTGACTTAGATTTTCTTCAAATATTAAATTATTTTTATGTGCTAAATAAGTATATATCAAATAGTCATTATTTTTCAATTATAATTATAAGTACATTTCTCATCTCAAAAGATTATATCTTTTTTGTTACCCGTATTTTCAAATAAAGTAGATGGAAAAGGAAATGTAGCATTAAAGAAAGCAAATATCAGTTAACAAAGACTGTTTCAAATAATAAAACATATGCCAAAAGGTAAGAATTTCTCATAATCTTAAGAATAAAACACTCTGAGAAAAGCTTTCATAGAAGGATTTGGAGCATAATAAAAAGAAGGGTTCCAAATGATTCAAATTTTCGGCTTAAATTAATAATTTCGTGTTTAATTGTTTGCTTTAATTATAACGATCGTCGGATGTTTCGTTTCTTTTGAAATGTTAAAAACAAATTATTTTATAATAGTGGAAGAGAAAAGCTTTAATTTAAATAAACGTTTTCAAGAAATTCAATGCTTTAAATGTAAACTTTACTTACTTACAATCTTTTGTCCACCGAAGTCAATTTCATTTCCAACAGTGCTGTAATGACACATTTTGTAGTTTTCTAAAACAATTTCACTAATTCTCTTTTTTCTTTTCGGCAATCTGTTCTAAATTTGTTTAACCCTTCTCTCTTTTTTTCCTTTCGTCTTATCACCACAACAAAATATCACCGTAAACTTACGGATTTTGAGAATCCAAATAAGCGAAGAAGGAAAAGAAGAGAATAACACGAAAATAGCATTGTCCCATTCTGAAAATGCAATGATAGTCTAGTTATTATTTTACTATTAATTGACATAAACTACGATATTATAATTAGAAAGAAATATTTCCTCACAATACACAACAAGACACTATCACTCTGACCAATTGAACTCTGAATGATTCTTTCTCTATTTGCATTAATTAATTGTAAAAGTATAATTAACCTAATCTTACTATTTTTCATTTTACACGTCATTAAACTTGCATCGAACGATAGATATTTTCACATTTTACATTTAAAATAGCCAATGTAGCACTCAGCTGACCTCAGCCTATGTCATCTGTTGCAGTTTCTTACTTTTTTTGGAGATTTTTTTCTCCAAACAATTAGTCAACATCGAAATAAACACACTTGACTTTTCTGATTTGAGTAGTCATTTCATGAAATAAAGTTCCCAAAATGATAACAATTTATTAAAAATTCCATAATTCGAAGTCATTTTTACGTCCATTTTCATATTTCATTAGTATCGATAGCAATAGTTTACAAGCGAGCATAAATAACTTTTATGAGCAATTAAAAAAGTATATTCCTTTAAAAAAATTGAACTGGCCGTTCAAACAAGTTTTGCAAAGTGCTTAACTTATTTACAAAAATAATAAATTTTTTGTTTATGAGTTTGCCTTTTTCGTTCGCTTTTAGTGTACCAAAAAGAAAAATTGCAATAAGAAAAAAAGAGGAATGGTAAAACAGATGATGAAAATTTTAATGAATAAATCGAAGGAGAAAAATTGGTTTCAAAATTATGAATTGAATTCATTTAAGAAAACTGCTTCAAATTCGCTTAGGATTTAATCTTGCGACTCCAATGCTATATCTGTTGCTATTTCTAGTTTTCTGAAGCCTGTTTAAGAGGTTCTTCAGTTTTCAATTCAAAATACAAACTTGCTAATAGCCAACGGCAAAATGACACTGCTTTTGCAGGTGATATTAGCTTTTCTGGGAAGGAGAGATGTTACTTTGCCTATTGCAAACAGATCAGCGATAGTAAGAAGGTAAATGGAAAGAAATAAATATATGATAGCATTCACTGTGGGAAGAATAACTTTTTTGTAATAATTCCGTCACTTTTCTTTTTTTTCAATTACTCAAAAAAATTTTCTATGAATCATTTGCACAGTTGGAAGATTTTGGACATTGGCATTCAAAAGGAAACGAAAAGGCAATTCAAATAATATTGAGAATTAAGGATGCAGGAAATAAATTCCAATGAAGAAAGCTTTATAAGAAGATTTATCAGCATGGGTAAGGTAAAGTAATTTATTTGTAATTTTTCCAAAAAACCTGTATGACAAACGAAAAAAGCGTCAATTACAAACGGAGACGAACTTAAATTTCTGCATTTGTTCTCTGACAAACTGATATCCAAAAAAAAAAAAAAACTTCTAAACAAATGAAGAAAAGTAAGAATAAAGTACGATATAATCACAGTGAAAACTGCAAAACTCATCGACAGGATATACTAACCGCAGAATGCTTCTGGAAGTATTTAGACGGTGCTGTAGTACCGACGTATCAGTTGACTGGTTTCATTGTGTAATTCACATTATTTGTTATTTAATTTAATGAGTGGGAGTAAATGAAAGAGTTAAAACAAAGTATTCCGATGTTTGACTGTTGAAAAAAGTCATCTAAAATGTTGAAAAAAGTCATCTAAAATGAAATGGAAAACAAAAAGTCTTTTATTACTACTTTTTAATGCATGTAAGTCATGCGTTGCCAGCAAAAAGTTTTTTTCAAAATTTTTTGCTGAGAATTAGAAGAAAAATAAATATGGTCAATTTCATTAAAACATAAGCTGAGTCAAATTTTCTACCCGTTATTTTTCAGCTGAAATATTTTTTATGAGACATCGACTTTTGGAAGTTTGTTAAAGAAAGTGGTATTAGGAAAGAATTTTGAATAGAAAAAAACGGACACCGTCCAGTAAAGGAGAGTAAACGAATGACAGAGAAAGGAAGAAAATGGCCGTCAATTGCTGGGTTAGGTCAGATCACTACAAGTTGCAGGGAAAAAAGGAAATGTTAGAACTATTGTCACGTTTGAAGAGGACGACAAAAATTTTGTGAATTTTTGAAAAGATTATTCAAAAAAATTGCTGCACAAAACTTTTTCCATCATTTTTTTTCAAATATTTCCATAAATCAGGACATTCCTTCATCATCCTTTCAACTACGTTTACTTATGAATTTATACAATACAGTACCTAGCCAAGAAACTACTTACTTCATTTCTGCTTTTCTCAGAGTTACGAAGTTTGGAATTCCAGGAGTGAGAAGAAGTAAGAATTCGATATTAACTATTCGCAATCCCTGTCTAACTAATGGATAGAATTTAATATCAATTATATTCTTTTCTGCATATTATTTCTATTAAGTAGAAAGTTTTCCAAAAATTGATTTTCTTTAATCAAAAAGGAAAGATTAAAAATTAAGTGTTTTCCAGAAAAAGAATTAATTTGTATTCATCCTTATTTTCTATAAGTTGATCGATAGTGACAAAGGGATGACATCGCCTTGATCAAGTTATCAAGTCATTTATAATTTCTATCATTATAACGTCACAAATAAGTTATTATTAAATTTTCATAATGGAAATGAATCAGCAACAAAATGTTTTTATTTTTCTATTCCTTTAGATGATATCCTAAGTGAAGCGAATCAAAACCATTCGATTATTACATTTTTTTAAAGCTTTAAAATTCTACTCAGCCATCTAAAAAATTAATAAAGATATTATAAAGATCAAGTTGGGAAATTTATCTAAAAGAAATCTTGGATATAAAAAAAGGATATTAAAAAATTTCCAATAGTTTGATTCTTTAATATTCTATATATAATCAAACAGGAAATGGACAACTTCACACAGGAAGCGATAGAGAGTTGGATAAGATTCGTATGACACACAGATAAATTATAAGAAAAGAAAGTAATTCGATATAGAAGAAATGGACTTTATAATGAAAGATATAAATAACAAATATATATATATGTATCCTGCATTGAAAACCATTCAGGTCTCAATTGTCCGGCTCGAAAAGTTGTTCAAAGAAATAAAATTTCTTAGCAGTCCTTCAAAATTCATTCATGCACCAAAACCCTCAATGTCCAAATATCACTTTCATACTTTACCAATCATCATCTTATATTCAGGGATTTATAAATTAAAATTTTTGGTAATCTATTAATGTATGTTAGTTTTTACGAATTTTTCATTGAATGAGTTTTAAGCAGCAATATTTCTAAAGCAAAGAAATTGTCCAAAAATTATTCCAGTCTTATTAAGAGAGTCATATCTTCTAAATGTTTGGCTAAATACAATGATTATTAATAAGCAGGTAGAATTAGTCAAGAAATTCAAGCATGCATTTAGGATCTAATCGGAACAACTCTAATTCTACGAATCATCTGTTCTATTTCTCCATCCTAAATAGAGTATATAATATGTTATTCTAATTATTGAAACACACACACACATACATAGATTCAAATACGTACAGACACGTACTAATGATTTGCTTGATGATTAATTTAAAATTTCAATTTACGCATGATTCAATTCAATAGTGTGAGTGCTGCGAAGATTTCGTAACAGTCGGGGAATGATGTGTTTTTGGATGATAGAATAAAATTGATAGATTGCTAGCGTGACCTCTAAAAATGAAGAACCGATGAGGCATTTCAAAAGGATTAAAAAGAAATAAAGAAGAAAAATCCTCTGCAAGAAATTGTCGCATGTTGAGAATTCATTCTAAAACTTTTAAAGGATAGTAATAGACAATAATGTTACTAAAAAAAACTTTGCGTAGTGCACAGCTTCATTCCGTAAAATTTAATGTAATCTATATTGCAGCAGTATATTTTTTAAAAATTATATAAGATGGTTGGTTGATTGTAAAAAGTATCTTATTTCTTCATAAGCAAAATGGTGAAAAGTTGAATATTTGGCAAAAAATTATAAAATTTTTAATCGTTGAAGTGAATAAATTTTTTAACGATCTATTGAAAAAAAAAAAAGGAAAAAAAAACTAGCAGAAAATAAATATTATTAAAAAAGGAAAAGAGACTCAACTAGAAAATTACCACATAAACTTTATAAAGCTCTTTATAACGAAACAAGCAATTGTTACTATATTTGAAATACTGAAAACACAAAAAATGCACTAACAAAAATACGTGCAACAAAAAAATTTCACAATTAGTAACATACACAGACGAATAAAGACGATAATACTGAAATCAAAAACAAACTATCATACCATTAATATAAATGAAAAGTGGTAAAGAAAAGGAAATACCATCTGTATTTTGAATTTGATCATTTGAATTAAAAATGCTAATTACTCACTAACTACTAAAAACAAATTTTTAAGAGAGAACCAAGTTTACAATCAGTTATTTGAAAATTATTTCAAGCAAAAAAAAGTTGCTTTAAACGGTGTGAAGATTATCAAAAAACGCATCACTATTATCTGTCATTCATCACGATGCATGCAGCTAGTCATTCACTTGATGAGACTTTTGAAATGCCAACCACTGTCAATATTAAATTCAAAAACTAGTTATAGATACACGATGATCTGAATCTATGCAAAAAATGAAAAAGCGCTTCTCTTTATTTTTGAGAAGCTGAATGACCATATCCGTTATCAGATATGTTCAGTGAACATAGTTTATTTATAGATTGCATACCTTTCTTTTTCAACCATTAAAACTTTAAAGGGACTAAAAAGCTGCTCGCATTCATTTCTTGCATTGCGTTTTTCCAATGATCATTAATTGCTTTAGGAAGTAGTTCGAATCATACGCCTTGCATATTCTCACAAAAGATTAAAAACCAATAAATAGTAATGAAAAGATTGGAATATAAAAGAGATGAAATTCTCCTACTGCTTACCGATACTGAAAATTAGTGACTGATGGAAGAGGATGTGTAGAGTACTTGGCGCACTTTGTCGATTGGATTACTTACATATCCATAGAGAATGGGGTCAGTAATCAGTAATCAATCAAATGCAAGCAGAAGTAATTTAGCACATAGTTTAAATAATGGAAGCCAAGATAAAAAAAGAACGGTTTAAATTTGTGTTTTAGAATCAGAATAATAAAAATGTTTGTCAGTCTTAGAATAGATCATTCTGGGAATTTTCTTTACTCGTTAGTTCGGGAAAGATTCGCTCGTATTATAGGTGGTAGCAGCATTAGCGATTATAATGAGACAAAAAGTAAAGAGTAGAATCGAGGAAGTACTATGTCTTCCTTTATTCCTCTATTTATTTTCCATATAGGGGTAATTTAAAAAAACATCTGAAATACTTGTAAAGGGAAATCTGATTATATCATAACGATTATTATGTGAAATTTAAAGCAAGTAAACCTGAAAAATGAAGTTCTAAGATTGGGACCCTGACAATATATTAATGACAATATTTCATGTCCGTCCTTATTTCGATTCTTTCTCTACATAACTATACCTGAGTCAAATCTGGAAGTGAAATTGAACCTTTGCTAATCTTTGCAAATCTTATGGTTTAATTGGAATAAATTACATGAAGTCAAGAGTTCTTGAATTTGGGATTTGATTTGGCATAAATTTAAAATTTGAGTGCGTATGCACTTTAAACTCAAAACTTAAGATAGTGAAGAGCTGGCAATCAAACAATTCATTCAAAATTTAGGAACTCTCACTGCTGCTCATGTATTATCGTTCATCATACATTCTCATATTAACTTCAAAGAGAATGGTGGCAGTAACTGCTAATATCCAAAGGTTCAACGAATTCTTGAAGCATTTGGAAAGTCTTGTAACACATTCTCAAAAAAGACTAAATAAAGCTTATTTTAAAATAAAATACACAATATGAAATATCTGAAATTTACAGCAAAGAAATTTGTTTATTAACTGAAAAATCAGAAAAGATTGCATTTTTGGTTGCTGAAAATAACATATAACCGTTAGCCAAATGTAAGTACAAGGTTGACAAATGAATGTAAGTATAAAGTGACCAATTCTATTTCGAATAAAAATGTTCCCTCATTTTGTCTTAATTTCATTTATTCATTATGTGCATTTTCTTCCGAACTTTATGTTTTTCAGCATTATACACTTGAATTTTCGATCAGATTGATTACTGAATAAATAAGAGGTTTGTTAGATATAACAAAGATGAAATCACACACATTTACATTTCACTTGGCATAGACATGGATCTTTGAAATATAAAATTGAAATCGGTGTCTAACAGAGTAGAGTAAGTTAAAAGATGATTAGTACGTATCAAAACTATCTGAGATTTCTTTCGCCAATGTCTGAATGATAAATCCAACCGTTTCACACTTATTTCTGCAACAGCATAATAAGTGGTTTTTCTGGAGATGCTCTGTATCCTCAATCTTTGCTACGCATTCATTTTCTAAAGCTTTTATTTCGACACAGAATGTATGTTCATCTGAAAATTTATAAAGAGTCTATGCAGTTTTAAACAAAAAAAAAGAAAAGCAAACAGGCAGTTAAATTAGTCTGAAATAAAACATTAAAATTGGATTACTGAGTTCTATTTCAGTTGAATCTCATTTCGGGGAATGTATAACAGCTCTGTACTCAATAATGGGAACTGATTCTTGAAACTAAATAATAAGTGATTGTGTAAAATGTACCTTAACAATGGTAGGCTATAAATTATAAATTATGTGCTATAGATTAAAAAGAAACAAAAATTTTTGAATAAATAGATCATCTAGAACTTCCATCCGCAATTTCAAATAAAATCGGCCATCATTAGTTCAAAAATTCCTCCCTTCCATTGTCGTTTGATTTCTTTCTGGTTATGTAGGAACATGTCAAAGGTTGAATAATTTAACCCGTTTCAAACAAGTTTAGTTTCAACAAAAAATTAAAATTTTTTTTCATTTAGCAGTAAAAGAGATCCTTTTTCGAAGAATTTGATTGTAACACTGAAATAAAACTATTCTTCATCAGCACTAAATTTTACAACCGAAAGCAAAAAAACTAACCACTGAATTCCCACATTTTTTGTTTTGCATGAGCACATTTTCCACTAGTTATAACATCTTCATTTTCCACTATACTAGGTTATCAGTTTTATTACTTAAAGACAGAAATGCCTATATTAAATTGATTTATACGACTTCATCAGACTGCTGTTCCAGTGATTACTCAAAAAATTAAAAGCAAATAGTTCAACGGATAAATACAGATAGAGTTGCAATAAATTTTTATAGAAACTTAATTTAGATCTGCTATTCTGTACCAAATGACTGATTATAGACAAAAACGATGGCATTTATAATTTGAATCACCTCAGTTATAAAATTATACTTATGAACATTTATGAAATGACATGGAAATAAATGTATACATCGTAAGAAATAGCTAAGCTTACTATCAATATCCAAAGTTCCATAAACAATAGGGGAATGGCACCATGTTTCTCCTTTCTGTACCAAATGATCTGACAATGTGTTGGGATATTCCTTGCGAATCTGCAATTTACCACTTCTTTGAATTTAGTGAAATATATGTTTAGCTTGACTGAAAATGAAGCACCAAAATTATAATAAAGGTAATAGCTGAAAATTAAGTTTAATAAAATTTGCATCATCGTAAAGATTATCTTTTCAGTAAAAAAAAAAAAAAAAAAACAGCTTTATTAATATTAGAGCACTTTGTGATATACTTTCACACTTGATTTAATGTTATCGATTGACAGGTTTATTGCTTAGGAATACTTTTTAGTATACCTTAAAGTCGAGTTCTTGCTTCATCAGAATTTTCTGCAATTTCACTCTCTCCCACACATATTCATTACATGCATCACCGTGATTGTTGTATGAACGGCAGAAACAGTATGCTTGTCCTTTCCGAATTGAAGTACAAAGTGATGAAAGCGATCCTGCTCTTAAGTGTCAGGTGTTATATTGAATTCAAATTTCAATCCTAATTTTTGATTAAAGTAGAAGTTCTCAGTTGAAAAGCAAAAGAATGAGCACTGGGATTTAAAAGTGGATTAGTGATGTGCAACCACGGCATGAATCCGGATATACTGAGACAAAGATAAGGCTTGGCTTCATAAGTTGTCATATTTCAAGCAAAATGTCTAGTGCTTACAGACTGGCCAATGATGATGCATATATCTATTTGATGTGATAAGTTAGGGCCCACATCAAGCAGATATTAACTTACAGAAGCCACATGGCATATGCAATATGATTGAGATGTTTTTCAGCGCTGTTAGCTATTGTATGTGTCACTGCACCACCTGACACATCAAATTTTATTTCTGAAAAAAAAATTAAGTCGAACTTGTAATGCTGTAATTTCAACGGCATGCATGATTGCATCCTTAACCCTAACAATTCTTTAAAATTATAATTTCGCAAGATGAGGATGACAAAAAGTTTTATTGTCTTCTGAAGCATCAAACATGAAACCAACGTCTGTGTCTAGGACCTAAAGGTAAGCAAGAATGCTATAAATTATCAAAAATTCGACTAAAAAGAAATATTAGCCAATTCCATCATTCTCATCCTTCAACTTCCCCATTCCTCTGGTTAGCCTTGTCAAATGTCCTTAGTATTAGTGTAAAAAACTGATCAAGCAAGTACAGATACCATTCCCATCCATTTTTAAAGTCATTTCGGTGTAGCAATACGATGTATACGTGAGGAACACTCTTTCCACTCCATGTGTTACATATTGAAGTCTTTGTTGATTATACTGCATACACTGTGTCAAATTCACTAAGGGCTAAAATTTTAATTAGGTTTGCGGAAATTTAGGGATAGTCGAACTATTAAGCTTAACTATCATAGCATAGGAATGTTTTTTAAATGCTACCCATAATTTATGTAAGTGATTTGATTTTGTCATTCGTTTTAGCAAAATTCGGTGTTGAGTATTTGAAAGTATAACAGCACCTGCTCAACTCATTAATTTATAATTCTTTATGGGTTCAGTGACAGCATCCCTGATGTATTTTACACTAATAGTGTCCCTCACAAACTATTTCATATTTACAGATATTTTCCTCATGAGAACTCTGCTTTATTTCATGTTTAAGAAACTGTTAACCCAATTTCTGGCTAGATGTGGTATTTTTGCTGCAAGTTTTTTGTCACATGGTGTCTTTGAGCTAGCTTCTGTACGACAGCGACACGCAAAAATTTTCAACGGCATGTAGTTCGTTTCAAACATTGCTGCTTCTGGACAAGATCGTGAATTTGTATAATTAAAGTTTACCTAGAAAAAAATTTAAATAAGATCAATTAACTCTTTTTGGACGATCAAAGTAAATTTTTTGCAGAAAGGATTCATAAACAATGAAATGGAGCTTGAACTACTCACTTCTACTTCAACATAATGACATTTTCCGTCTTCTAGCAATGCGTATGAGAAGTCGATTGCATAAAATGCACTGCCTATAGATTTAAAAAAAGGATTATTTGTTTTTTTAGATTTTTTTAAATTCTAGAAGATGCGTAAAACAAGCAATGTGCTGATTTCACCCAAGCCATTCATTCTGATTTTTGAAATTCTAATTAATATTAAAATGAAAATAAGTCATATGAAAAATGACTGAAAGCTCGGAAAAGTGTTCCTAATTGAATCATTATTCATTGTCACTTTTTTTGTTCAATCACAGAAATCTTTTCAACGCATTTAGTACATAATTTATTTCACTGTTTCATTAGTTATTTTACGACTTATTTTTAGCTTTATTTCATAATATTGTGTAGGATGCAAAATAAAAATCAAGAAAAAATGTCATGAAAAAATCAAACAATCGGAATGAATGACAACTGCTATGATGGTAGTTTTCACTAATTAACCTGGTTGTTGAAATAAAACGAAATTATCCTTCGGTAAACGAGAGTCCATATCCGATAAAGTGACGTTATCAATATAATGTAGTAAACATGACCTTGATGGTGGTTTATCAATTAGAAGTAAATCATTGAACAAATATTGATATTCTGAATTATATTTGCAATAATAAGGTGATTGCCTTGCATTTAGTTTGTTCAATATTAGACCCTGAAAACTAAACCAATTACTGCAATATCATGGAAAGAAAACAAGTTTAAAAAACTAAAATAGAAATAAGTATCTTAATTTTAATCAACTTGAATCAGTTGATAAAATGGTATTTAATTAAGGCAATTGCAGTTCTTAATCTCTCTTGTTATGAATTTGGAGTCAAAACAGCTCAAAGCTTTTTGAAGAAAGTCCACCGCTATAGCTATAATAAAGTAACATATTATCTTCTTGTTTAAGGAAGAAAAAGCTAACATTATAATTGCAAAACGTTTGATGATTGCAGCAACAGAGTGCTTCAAAATGATTTGGTTCTATGGGAGCTTTCATTAGACACATGTCCATTAGTGCTGCAAATTACTCCGTTAACTTTTGAAAAATTCCGTTTGTTATGGGCAAATAAAAAAAACAGATTTACAGTTCTTTCGATCCTATTTCTAGTCCCTCTGATTTGCTTGAATTCCAGTCCTTATAAATTACATAACCAAAAAAATTCCCTCCAATTTTATTTTTAAATTTAATTCAGCTTCGAAATTGAGATAAATCCAAAACTGCAATTGACTTAATATGGGGATTATTTGCTATGACTTTGTATTTTACGCTTCTGTAATCAAAATGAAGGACTTCAACTTAAATCTAAATTTCAACAATATCGGCACTTACGTATTAGTTGAATACATCGTGTTTTGACAATATCCACCAGACGAATGTCCCAGTTTGCATAATAATGACACCCAATTTCTATTCCATCTGCAAGAATACTATGGCCAGGTTTGTTGGCTCGAAATTCGTCTGTCGACATATAATATTTATGTTGCATATTTGAAATATCCAGATAGAGTGGGCAGTACTGCAAACGAAATAAGCTCAAAGTTTCAAGAGGCTTTTGCGATATTTCGAACTAATAATGATCTTTTACGGGAATTATCAATGAATAAGTATGAATTCATACGTTTTTTGATTACAGTCAAATCGATTCTTGGTAATCTAAACATAAAAGCTAAGTGAGACAAAGATGTAAATCAAATTAATTATGCATATGGTTAGCTTAACTGCCCATAGTATCAGCTATATGAATTTGATTAGTTTAGTAAGCAGATGTACAGAAGAATAAAGAAGGGAACTGGCCAGGTAAGACAGTAATAGGATGTATGACATGAAAAATTAATTCAAACCGATGGACAGTCGAGAAGGCTGCAAAGTTGTCAAAAAAAGTTAAAAGGAAAAGTTACGCTTTTAGTACGTGTTCCTTCCAAAATATCTTCCATTTTTCCTCTTAGTGTAACTTTCTTCGCTTCTCTATCATACATATAGGTGTATCTTGTATTGTTGCGATTAGGAATAGCGCATGGCATGAAATCGTTGTAAGTCGTTAACTGTCCAGTGCCTACCAGTATACTGCTTGAAATTCGATCTGTGAAATTAATAATTAAAAATTTCAAAGAGATTATTTTGAAAATCAAGCTTTAGCGATCCTTAAAAATTAACGTCAACATGAAACTACCTTGACAGTTGCCAATCAAATCACCGTAACAGCAACATTCATAACCGTATTCATCATATGTCATCCAGACGACACATTCGTTATCTTCCTAAAAATGTATATCTGTCAGTATTGGTTTTATTTCGAGCAACAAACTTCAGTTATATAGAACATAGAAAGTTAAAATAAGTTGAATAATGTAAAAAAACAGAATTCATATTCCAAGATTAGACTGATTAAAATAGCAACACGTGAACTGTGCTGTATTCTGCATTGCATGTCCTGCATGTATCCCATCTCTGCCGCACTGTATGGACCGAGACGAGTGATTTCATGAACCGTTCGATCAGGTATTTGCTCGATTTGTCGTTCATAGAGACTATTTCGGTTGAAAATATCACTAGCGGTAACAAAGCACACATTGTTGTTTGTTGTTATTGGAACCTTAATGTCATAGAAAGATTAAAATTTTTTTTTATACCTTTCAAGAGTTATTTCCTCAACGCTGTTGTTAAAGGAACAACTACATCAAATAAGTCTTATGTAGTCAACTTTTAGACTTTTTAAATCTGTTTTTTTTTTTTTTTGTTAATTATAATTTTGTTTCTTTAATTTTTTCGCTTTTTTTTTTGTTTCTTCAAATTCTTAAACTTAAATTGAATGAACGCACTCTTTTGAAGTTCTTTGCATTACATGTTTTCATGGAAACATTGATTTCAGGCATACGATTTGTTATATAATAAGTTTCATCGATATAAGTTTGAATACCATTGGTATAATCGAGAACTTCATGAAGTACATAGTTCTTTATCAAGCTGTATTGACGACGGATTAAGAATTGAAGTTTCAGAATGATTCTCCATTGTGCCACTGTTTTGACAACCGGACATGGCTTACAGCAAAGCAAGAAAATATCGTTGTAAGTATTTTCTGTTGTCTAAAATATCTTTATACACAAAGTTGATTTCAAGAGTTTATTGGAGGATAAGCCAAAAGAATACGCCACTTCGGGATTTCTGAAGTGTAAAGAAAATGTTTCGTCAATGATGATAGAAATTTAATAAAGAATAGTTGAGGTTGTTTAGCGTGACCAATCTATAAATGAATCATTACTAAGAAAGAAAATACCAGCGGTTAGAAGTCTCTTTAATTTCACATTTAAAATTCTTCATTCAAAATTAAAATTACCATAACCCATGCCGCATAATACAAAGTATTGTACTGAGAATTCAATTGTTCATAAATGCCTAAATCATCACAGAGTGGTTGAGCGGCTTTTTCAAATTCCTTATGTGTTATATCCTCTTCGTGCCACGGATAATTTTGGTCATTAAAATATAATACGTTGTCAAAGCCAGTCTTGTTGTGATAGTATTTAATTCCATAAATACAGTACTTATACTTTGGCCTAAAATGTGTCTTTATTGTGGGTCCATAAAAAGTTACTTTGAAGAAACACAAAAAATGTTATCAAGGAGCTCTACCTCATATGCTCTTATCACCTAAAACAATGCATTCTTTCAACTCAAATGATCAAAGGCATCAAAATATCAAAGTGATGATTGACATATTTTGTTAGCTTAAAGTAAAATATAGATACAAGCCGTTTATAGAAGCATCAAAATATATGCATTTACAGCATGTTTCAAGTCTGTATTTTGAGCAATGCATTGGAAAAGTATAGATTAACTTACACAATGTATGTATTACTTTAAATTGTAAGTGTCGTGTATGTCATTGCCATGTATCTTACCACACATGCTTCTTTTACTCTCTCATCTAACAGGAAATTGAATACTAATGTTATACATAATGAATATTTAATTTGATTCCGTATTTGAGTTTACTTAGTATTTGATTGTTGATTTGGGGAAGGGAAGCATCTCCGGAAAATTCAGACTAGAAGTTTCATGAAAATCTGTGCGTCAAACCGCCGATATATTACATTTTTCATTCATGATTAGTCATACTATCTTATATTTACTTCAAAGAGAGAAATGCTCTGTAAGATGTGTAGATTATTAAATTTCTACAAATTAATATCTTCAAAATTATTCGAACCTTAATATCTTTCTAATGTCGCTCTTTGACCTTTACCTTCTTTGTCTTATGACCATGAAATATCAAGATGAGAACTAACTTGTATATTGTTTTATTAATTGGATTGTAACACTTTACTGGCATATCGAGGTATGTTGTTGTTGAAGATAAATAATTTGTTTGAGTTGTTTTAATTTGGGTAAATAAACTCTAAACGCATTTGAGTCTAATCACCAAATGAAAATATGATAAGAAGAAGAGCTACAGAACTCATCTTTGCTTTTCCTCAACGACTTTAATACGGTAAGCCCGTATGCTTTTCTCGAATAGTTGAATTTTTTGTCACGAGGAGTTATTGAAAGTTTTTTTTTTAATTTTTTGGAAAAAAGTTCCTATACCCTGATATTTTCTATAAATCTTCATGAAAATTTCAAATCTTATTAACTAAATCGAGTGAATTTTTCTTTTTTTGCATGACAGCAGCGTTCAAAATTAGATACTTTTGAACTAAGATACTAACAATTGTTAACATAAAATAGCATAGAATCACTGTTGCGGCATTAAGATGCATTCTAAAGGAAAACAACCTTCCAGAAGTATCATAGAATGTATCTTTCACTTTCTTAATGGATATTCTATCTTATATAGTTCCAAGACCAATTGATGTAGAGTGAATATTTACATAAGTCTAAATTTTGAGATAAAAACGAGCTAAATCTAAAAGAAGCAAAGTAGATAAGGCTAGATGTCATTGAAGAAATGAATAATTTGTAAATAAAAATTGTGATGATAGAGGAATTAAAATAAGAGGTAATTCCTGAAAGGAGAATATAAATTTGTCAATGGCAATCTTTGCGATTAATTCAAATTTACTGATTGAGAATGTGTTAATTTCAATATTTGTAGTCTGAGAAGAAGCAAAAATGAAAAACTCTGAGTTATTTGGTTCAACACTTAATAATAAACTTCGAAAATCATTGCAAAAGCGAAATCAAAGAAACGTGAAATTGTTTAGATTCTTCAATTCCAACTTATTGAATTTATTTCTCTTAATCAAAGTAATCTCTAAGATTGCTTATTGTTATGAGTACAATTTTCTTCTAGTCCAACTATTCTTAACAATGAAAACTCTTTCGATTAAAAAACTTGAATTTCATAGCTAAAGGTTTTTCGAGTATAAGATATGAATTTCATTTTTATACACCATGGACAACAATCAGCTCGAAGTACTCTAACTTTGTATGTTTATATTTTATTACTATCTCTCTTAATAATCGAATAACAAATTATAATGCAGAACAGAAATATTAGAATATTAGAGATTAGAAAATTTATAATGAAATTAGATTTAATAACTCAACAAATCTAACGATAACTTATTTAATACACCGGTTTTAAACAATCCAGACTACAATATTAATTTACTTTAGTACACTTAAATAAATGTAGTTTAGTTTTTGTCATTTAAGCTTATTAGACAAAGCCATGATTCATTACAGCTATGCTTCTCAGCCGAACAAAATGAAATCGGAGATATCAATGAAAATTGTAGCAGATATGATGTAAATTGCAAGAGAAACGCGAAATGAAAAAGAAAATGAAATGTATTAAAAAGGAAATATTCGATTTAACGAATATTTTTTCTTCTGTTATAATTTGTAAACGGTTGCGCAATTCTCGGTCACTTTCCTTTCATTCAAAAGAAAGAAATTGATAACATTAGCTAAGCAAAAGATATTAGTTTTCCTGAGCTATACAATTTCAAGTTTCAGTAAATATGATTAGACTTGCTAACTTATCTAGTTTCACAACTTTTTCCTTTTTGTCCCAAACAAAAATGCACAGAAATGAATATGAGTTACTAGCTACTGTAGATCATTTAGCAATAATAAATAAAACTAGAAAATTGCGACGACTAGTCCTTGAATGAAATGTAATCAGATAACTATTTTAGGATGCAAAATAGTGCAATCTACATTCGTGCTCTACTTATAGTGCACATGTTGACATCACTCCTGTCCTTATCACCATTCACTGCTCAAGTTGGTGTTGTTATAAAGAACATCGAAGATCAAAAAAATCTCTCTCAAGTTTGCGATGAATCGGACGAAACTGGAAATTGGTTTGTAAGAGGACTAATACATATCTATTCTAGCGCTGGTCTCGTCATCCTGAATACTTTCACAGAAAATTGATTTTATTGCTGCATATGAACAAATGTGACATCTTGATATGTGAAATTCTTTTACCAATTGTTCTTGATTACCAGAATATCCTACTCTACATCGATATCCTAGAATTTAGATATCCTGCAGTCGGCCATTGGCTTGGCAGAAACACGGGGCTAGCCCAAATTTTGATTATGAAATCTTCTCTACATTTCATTTTTCTTGCAAATGCTACCATTTTAGGTTTATCTACTGCAGTGGTAGTATACTATCTGCGATAAATCTACATCAGCTGGAACTAGATTCAAAAACATTTGTCGACCGTCCACTAAAGGCTGATCCAAGTATGAATTAATCATTTGCAGGGATAATTCATAAATTTTGTTTATTAATTTATAAATGCAAATTATAATGGTGCTCGAATAAATGTAAAATTTAGTAACAAATAAATAATAAAGAAGCTTCTCGAATACATATCTGATATGTCATTATGAGACGGTATACCATCAAATAGCATTTTCATGTGAGCACAATTCACATATTTTATCACATCATCCCTTCACTCATTTTAGAAATTGTTCAAGACGAATTCCTAAAAAAATTCGGGGGACAAGCAGTGGAAAATATTAATTCACAGGAATTACTGGCTTTCCGTGAACGCTACTTTGATAAAGAGGGAGAAGAACTAAAGAAATGTGCTATTCCGGAATGGCAAAAATTGCCGCCCAAAATTGCTCGCATAAAAGATGAAACTCTGAAACAATTTGCAATATTTTTAAACAAACGATGGAAGGACTTATGCAGGAAGGTAAGAGTTATACGAACTTCTGCGATTAATTTTGCTTATACCAAATGCGCAGTTTACACACGTTCGTACGGAATTTTGATTCTACCACTGACATTTCTTTTGTAATTCTTACTCTCTTGAAGTCTAATCAATTCCAAACATGAATCAACATATGTAAATTATGGACTACTGAAAAAATCTTTAGTGAATCAAAGTATCGGGTTTTTTATACTAACTCTCTTCTGCACCTATATTTTCTAAGATCAAACCAATCCAACATCCAGAACGTCATTCATTGATCATAGTACCTGAATCATTCATCGTACCAGGTGGTCGATTCAGGGAATTTTATTACTGGGATGCATATTGGATTGTCAAGGGTTTGATTGCTAGTAGCCTCTATAAAATGGTCAAAAATATGTTGATAAACTTTCTACACTGTGTTAAAAAGTAATCTTTTTATCAATCCACATTCTAATTTATTATCTGTATCAGTTTGTTCTCCAGAAACTAATATATTCATAAGTTGCAAAAGTGTATACTTTCAAAAAAAGAGGAAATTTTCTCTTCAAGATTGTTAAGTCACAACTTTTACACAGTCGATATCTGCTACAGATTTGGATTTATGCCGAATGGTGGACGTGTTTATTATTTACGACGTTCGCAGCCACCGTTCTTGATTCCAATGGTATATGAGTATTATGAGGCTACCAAAGACACTGAATTTATTAGAAACAATTTCAAATATCTTGTGAAAGAGTTTGAATTTTGGATTAAAAACAGGTAGTTAATCAATAGATAGAAATATCAGTTATTTCAATTTCATAAAATCATTCGATAACGTGATCTTTCCAAAAAAATTTGAAATTTTAAAGATATTATTATTAATCAAATAAATAATATTACTAATAATCAATAGTAACCAATAATCCTTTTCATAAATCACATAATGTCGAACAATACTTTATCCTGAAAACCAAGGGCACTAATAGCTTAAAACAATGGATGAGAAATGCACTAAAACAATTTATAAACGACTCAGATCATTGATAGTAAGGGACAAAAATGGAAAAAATCACACAGTATACCAGTATCGTACTGTAACAAATGTACCTCGTCCGGAATCGTATTTGGTTGATGCTGAAGCTGCAGTGAAAGTCAAAAAGGAGAATAGGTTGAAATTTTTTCAGGTGATTTTTGGATACTATTAGTAAATTATTATTATCATTGATTTGTATTGGAATGTAAGTTCTAAACAAATGTGTTATGAGGAAAATATGAATTTGGAACATTTAATAAATGACAGTCCTGTAGCAAGCCAAACAATTCGTAATTATTTTAGGATCTTGCGTCGGCGGCTGAGTCAGGTTGGGATTTTTCGTCACGATGGTTTAGAGATCGACGGACAATGCAATCCATCGAAACAACTAATATTGTGCCAGTGGATTTGAATGCGTTACTTTGCTGGAATGCTAATATTCTCAAATATTTAGCAACTATAAGTATATGTTCTTTTACACTTTATACTTCTGCAGTGACATTTCCATATTTCAATTATTTTGAAATTGGTACCAATATCCTTAAAACAAAAAATCAAGTACCAATATTCTTAAAACAAAAAATCAAGTACCAATATTCTTAAAACAAAATCAAGTACCAATATCCTTAAAACAGGTGATAAGAAAAAAGTAGCAGAACTGGAGAAAAAGAAAGAGAGTATTTCGGAAGCTTTAAATGCTATATTTTACAATGACACGGAAAAGTCTTGGTTTGATTACAATTTACGTACCAATTCCCATAAAGTGATTTTCTATCCATCTAATGTGATGCCTCTCTTCACTCAATGCTATTCAGAATTGGATTACGGAAAAGCAACTGATATCGTTAATTTTATGAAAGTAAATTATTTAACAACAACAGCTTGCTTTTTTTACTGTGAATAACTTTCCTCACAGATAAAGCTTTTTATGCGTCACACCCACCATAAATGACAACTGAATGAATGACGCAAGATACGTGGTGACTCCTGACAGTATGGACCACATGGACTTTTAAACTTTTCTTCCTTCAACAATTTTCATATTTTCTCCTTTTGAATTCTGAAGAATTCAAATATAAAAATATTTAGTCTCTTTCGGGTTTCAAAAATTCTTTCAAAATCGATTGAAGAATTATTACAGCGATCAAAGCTTCTTGACTACCAGAATGGTGTGCCGACAAGTCTCGAAATGAACAGTGGAGAAAAATGGGACTTTCCGAATGGATGGGCTCCTTTGCAACATATAATCATCGAAGGAATGCGAAAATCCAACAATCCTGATGTTCAAGAATTGGTATTTTTCTTCCCGCAGTGCCTGAAATATCTTCAAGTTTTTGAAATACTCTGAATAGATGCGACTCTTTTGATGACTTTCGAAATGAATAAATTTTAAAGTAAAATTGAAAAAGGATATTTTTGCAGGCGTATAAATTAGCAAAAAAGTGGGTATTGGCCAATTATCACGTTTATCAAGCCACAAATCAAATGTGGGACAAGGTTTTAATATATATTTTAATATATCTGACTTGTGCTTTAGGTTGTTAACCTTTTATAACAAAACAGGAGAAATATAATTTGTGCTTTCTTATGTTTTCTAAGGTTCAGTTAATACAATTGTTCTCATACTATCCCAACAACTTTACTTCATTCTGTCATGTAGAAATTTCAAAAATATCATACTCATTTCAAAATAAACATTTTTTTACTAAATTAAAGGCGCTCAGTTCTCATTGTTTAGATTGATATCGTCGGAGCAATTCCTAAGCCGGGAAGTGGTGGAGAATATAACGTACAAGTATGTTCCCTAAATTTTTTTAAAATTCCAAAATAATTTCAATTTGAAACGTTACGAAATGATTGAGCACTTTCCAGGATGGTTTTGGTTGGACAAATGGTGTTATCCTCGATCTTCTTGTTACTTACTATGACCGGATGAGTGTTCCGAAAACTGATCAAAAAGTAAATTCTGCACCAACGCTCAACATCACTCCTATTTTCTGGGACTTTATCACGCTTATCATATTTATCACTGTAATTAGCTATTCATACAATTATTTCATCTAATTACTCAGTGTGGAAAAACTGTTTATTTGATGTTTTGTTCACTGCAAAGGTGTACATTCCAGTTCATTTCAGAGCTATTTAACATTTTAAAATGTTTTTTTTTTTAACCGTATATTATGCAATCTTCAGAATGGTTCAATAAAAGATACTTAGTCTTATATTTGAGACTTCAGTTCAGTGTATTCTTTCTCAAGGGACTTCAGTAAGAAAACTTAGCCTTTCGTTGTTTCCATCAGTACTTTCTTCATCACTTTTCTCAGACCACATCAGTACATCATCCATCATAAATCTGCATCCACACTTCTGCACTTCGGTCGACTATTTTCGTTTACCACACACACACACACACACACACACACACACACATTTGCTTAATTTTCATTATTATTTAAAGGACCGCAATAATCGCAGAGATAATATGTTTCACGTTCACGAAGTAATATGCTTCACGTTCACAAACACATCCAAAGTTCTGCAATTTGATATAACTCTTTCGTGTCCCAATGAACATCGTATAGATTGGCACAGGATGAGTAAGTGACTTACGGATTCTGGTTCGGTTACATTCCGTAATTTGTTATTTATGATTTGGTATACTCTAATCCTTTGTTAATTGTCTCGCACGCTTCCCCTAATCTTTTAGATTTTTCACTCCATTCTTAACAATCTACAAAATAGTTCCAATTTCCTGATATATCCTGCTGTTTACTGGGCTCTCTATTTGAACCACTCACTAATCATCTTTTCAGGTTTTTGGGAATGTCTATGGCCCGGACTTATCAAACACATCAGATATTCCATTGCAAATGCAGCGGATTTGAAAAGAAACTGAATAAAAAAGATAACTTGAAATTAAGTTTGTCGAGTAGTAATGTGAAAAGGGAGAGGTGTGAAACAAGAGAATTCCAGAAAAATCAGGTTGATTTGCATTATGAAAACGGATGGCTCGATTCAAAACAACGAAATGCACATTTCGCGATGTAAACGCAAGTGGAAGACGAGATTATTCTCAAGACAATATCTAAATGAAAATGAGCAGTGAAGATAAGCGACCCAAGTTCAGAAGTGGAAAGGTTCCCATTTCCACTTCTGGAAATAGTAATGATAAAAAATAACAAGTAGTAACATTCTTAAACGTTATGATTAAACTGATTATGATAATAAAGGAAGCTATAATAGGCCTTGTGGTTTCTATACAAAAGAATACAAATTGAGATTTCTTAAAGTTTAACCAGGAAAGTAAAAGGAATGTAAAAATTTCAGTTTTTAATTTCAAATTATTCCTTCCTCATCTTTTGTAAATGTGTTGTTATGGTTTCTGTCGGGAAATAGTTCTCGAACTGCTGACAGTGAGTGTGGTGGCGAGGACAGTTATGCATGGTCAGTGAAAATAGCTTTTTAAAAAAAAATTTAGAAAATGAAATTGGTAAACTATATTTGAAAAAGTTTTCTGATTTAATTTGTTAAATTCTACTTTCAACCACATTTAATTTTATAATATTTGTTGCTTCAAAATTTATGACTTCTTTGTTGTGTAGTTCATCTAGATAGATGTTTTTATTTTAAATGAAATTTACATTAGTGAAATTTCTTCTCTCTGTTCTATGTGTGATAGGATGAAATGAATAGAAAAGCAATAAATGTCAGAATGCTTTGTTTTGACTAATCTTCATTACTGATTTAGTAAAGCAATTTTGGTGATAAATTGAGTACAAGTAACAAACTTGAAAATGCTAAATATTAGGAGGTGATAATAAGAGGACGATTCATTCATTCTTTATGGTTTCTTGCCTTTTCCGCTCCTTTGCACTCTAATCTTTTTCTTTGCACCTTCATCTTCTCATTGGAAAGAATTCGGATTTTTGACATTTATTTTTCAGTGAAGCAATGAAAGTGTCTTTTGTTAGAGAGTTAACATATATAGAAGATATCACCTCGTTTCCATAACTTAAGACGTTTAGAAAAATAGAAGTTCATTTCCTTTCATCGATTTGAAAAGCATTTTATTTTTGCTCAAGTCCTTTGATCAAAATTTTGTAAAGATGATCAGCTGTAACCTCAATTTTCCTTCTATTTTACAATTTATATTTTTGCGCGCTCAAAACTAAGTATTTCTCTTATCTACACCTGTTACCACTAGCATTTTATGTTTCCACACCTTTCTAAACTATGTAAAATATAAAACATTAAATCCTGGGAAACATCACTTCATTTCTTTTTATCATTTTTGGTACTTATCTATGTCACTATTTGAAAACTTGAAGGAGACTTAGATTCCATTAACTGATTTAGAATCTTTCCTTATATGTTTTCATATACTCTTATATTTCGTCTTAAAAAGATCAAAGATTAAGTTTCTTGACCATATATATATATATATATATATATATATATATTGTTATTACTATGCTGTTTCCTCTGCTTTAATTACAACTAGACGGAAATTAAATATAAAAGCAAACAGTGAGTGCCAAGTACGCTGAATTCTGTTTACAGTACTCATGGAGAATTTGAAATGGTAAAAGATTTTTGGAGGATCATATTGTATCCAATTAAATTCATTGAAATAAATTTAGGAAAAGATCAAAAACTAAGTATGCGATATAGCATTCTCTCTAATAACGGGTAAGTAAGAAAATGGCATTTTATTCTTCTCAATTTTCTTTCTTGACCATTTTCTCATAATTGATTGAGAAAATAAGTGCCGATAGGACTGGATAAATATCATAAAAACTTCTGAATATATTATATGCCAATTTTAAATCTCATAAAATTTACAACAAAGTGCAATAGTGAAAATTTATCGATCAGTGGACTTATTCCTATATTACTTTACTTCCATACCATACCTGCGATAATATTTTGTGATATGCGCTTCACTGCTTAGCTATACGCTTTCTACCCAAGGTCGTTAAATATTTTTTCTTAGTTTAATTAATGATTATGTTGAGGAAATTTCTCTCTTCTACACTGTGCTTATAAAAACGTAAGATATCTGAAACCAGAGGATGAATAAAGCAGAATTTTTCCTCTTAAAAAAGGATTTCTAAGCTTGCATGAAATGCCAGCTAATACTTGCGATCCTTATAATCATAAATTAACATTTCACTAATAACGACAATTCCATTTCTGATTTATGTTTTCTTTCATCTCAAAATGATTTGTAAAAAGTAGTATTTCAAATTTTGTACTATTTAAAAATTTGTTTAAGATTTTGACTTTCATTTTATTTGAAGTTAACGATACCATAGATAACCATCTTTAATGAATTGATAACTAAATTGCGAGTAAATTTGGAAAGGTAATTTCTAATATTTGTTAGCTCCAACAGTTTGATAACTTAATCAAATTTTAGAAAAAAATAATTTTGGAGTTAAAACTCTATTTCCATCTCACCACTTTATTTAATTCATCTTAAAACATATTTTACACTCTAAACATTCAGTTGCATTACCAATTGAAATGTATTCATTCTTTTTGATGAAATTATGCTCGGCTTTTATTTCTTCATAATAATAAAGTTTGTGGTAACGGTACGATATTTTCAAAACTAACTAAAATGCTTGTAAATATAACTCCAATGTTAGTAAATATGACTTTAGTAGTAATAAAATATGGCCTGGTTATGTTATAGCTTTTATAATTGTTTTCTCAAAATTTCTCTCAAATATTATTGCATACAAGCATTTCAGTATCTAAAAAACTGGAAAATTTTTGGAAGGCTGTGTATAGCAATAAACCAGGGTTAGAACTGATAAAAACACTAATTGGCGAAAAAAAATTTCGCTCAAAATGTTGAAAATAATGTATAAGCGGATTGTTACACTTGTGAAACTTGTAAAAATGGTAATCTGTTTACATTTCTCTTTCTGGTTTGATTAAATATTACATGCAATTCAAAAAAAGTGATTACAAATTGACATTTCACCTCTGTTTATTTGCGTTTTTCTTAATGCTTCATATTTCACTTCCGCAAAAGAAAATGTAACCTTTCTGGATTTTGAATTTTTTGAATTGAGTTTGATTTAGATTGAAGTTTCATTTGAAATTGTCGCAAGATCTCAATTAGAATTTAATATTTAATCATAAAGGTAACAAAAAAGAGATTGCAGTAGTGCTAATGCACTAAATCTGCCTATCTCGACAATATTTAAAAATTGGCACTATCGATATGTGAATCGATAATACTTTCTGCAATATGTTTTCACTTAATTGCCACTACTCACTGCATGTTTTTGGTTGATTATTGCTATATACGTTATAAACACTGTTGAGATATCCCTGTCATTACTATTAATGATAATTATTGTTATCACTATGAAATATAAAAGAAATAACGAAATTATCAAAAACTGTTCAACATTCCTAACAAAAGGACCTTCATCCAAAAACTTCCAATTAAAGATTCATTAATGCCTGACTCCGCTCAGTTAGATTGCATATTTTCTTTCCAACTGGGAAAAATCATAACGAAAAGTTTCTTAATTTTTGCGGAGTCTGAAATGTATTATTAATCTGAAAATATTCAACTTTCTGAATTTTCCGCATGAGATTGACAATTATTTGATTTATTCATAAATGTACCGATTACTCTATGACAATGTTGCATTGTTTCCATTCCATCCGTATTACTTTTCTTTTACTTTAACAGTTACAGTAACGAAATAGTACCCTCAAGACTTTTTGGTTATTTTGGCTGTCCTGAAATTAGAGGTGCTTGATCTACGTTGGTACTTCATTCTGCTTACTGATAGAACTAGATAGGTGTATGTATGTTATTTTTAGACGTCTTGTTAAACATGCAAGTATCATTTTGAAGATTTCAGCATACTGTGGTAAACATAGAATTCCTTTGTTGTCAGGAGAGTACTATGTAAGCGAAACACCAAGCATCTATTATTGAAAGTAACTTCTACCTGTGCGCTCATGCTTTTACTAATCTTTTTATACCGATATTGATATCGGTTGGATTCATACTAGAACTTTTGTATGAGATTTTTTAGAGAAATCCAAAACAATAGATATTGTTGAAATATTGGAAACTCAACTGGAATGACTAAATTAAAAAACTTATGTTTGATTATTCATGATTCATTTGAAAATCTTGACAAAAGGAACACAAAAAAAAAATATTCCATTCATTGTCAATATCT